TAAAACTTTTATACTATGACGAGTTCGCTCCCGTACATATTTTTATTTTGATTTTTTCTACCTACTTTTGCCTCGAAATATGACACTTTTCAGAGAGAATTTAATTAGTTTTTCTAGTCATAAACAAGATTTTATATCAATTACTTCTATTGTGTTATGAAACCAGGATGTCATTGCTTCCCCGTAAAAAGCTACAAACCTTTTACTATTACAATGTATTAAGCAACATCATGCATTTAATATGTAAAATCATGAGTTCATGAGGCTGAAATGATGAATTCATGCATGTAGTATGTCTCTACCGATATTTTCTCTTCCCAAGATTCAACGTTCCAGATAAATATTTAAAGTAATATAATATAAAAATATGATTTTTATTTAAATGTTCACGGTACTGATAAAAGTATATAACAAGTGAAATGATTTCTCATAAAATAAATTTAAAGTGTTTTTAATGGTTTCTTATTATCATATCATATCGATAAAGCTCGATAACATAATATTAGCAACAGAACATTCTGCTAAACAAAAATGTTTGGAAGGAGAATATTGACAATTCCGTTGTTAGTTCTCGTTGGTGAATCATTACACTTTTTGTACACACATTCCTTTGATATTAAAATATAATCAAGATTATTGTATTTAGCTGTAGATTTATTGTTCGAGGCAAGAGTAAATGTATGTTTCAATCTTTATTCTCAAAAAGGCATAATAATTCAAAATATATAATAACTGATTACACACATTTTTGGCTCACTTGTCACAAAATGAAAAGGTGAGCTTTTGTGATCGTTTTTCGTCGTTCGTCCGGCGCCCGTTTGTCCGTCCGTAAACTCTTATTTTAAACGACATCTTCCCATAAACTGCTAAGCATTTGGTGGTCACCTTCGAAAAATTCAATTCAATGCAGAACTCTGGTTGTAATAGCAACAGAATAAAACCTTAAACAATATTCTTTAAAAAAACACAACATAGCTAGAGCTTAGATAATAAGCATGTAGCATCTTCAAGAAAGTTTCTACAAAGTTTGTTCAAATAAAAGCCATGGGGTTAAAATTGGACTCGCCCAGGGTCATTGAGTTGCCTTTTATGTATATAGTGAAAACTTAAAAAAAAACATAGAGCTAGAGCTAAGATATTTAGCATGAAGCATTTTTTAAATAAATGTCTACAAAGTGTGTTCAAACAAATGCTCTGGTGTCAAATTTGGCCCCTCCCCAGCGCATCATTGATTTTCCTTATACGTATAATTATTGTAAAAACAAACACAATCTTCCTCTTAAAAAAACAAAAAGAGTTAGAGGTTAGATGTTTAGCATGAAACATCTTCTAGTGGGTGTTTTCCAAGTTTATTCAAATAAAGCACTGGGGTCAAAATTAGCCCGACCCGGGGAGGGTCAATAATTTTCCTAATGCTTATAAAACAAGATGTATATTTTTTTAGAAACTCAAAGAGATAGAGCTTAGATATTTACCAAGTTTTATTTCAGATTCACACAAGTACTTTGTAATATCAGTTTAAAATCTATGTTTTATATCTGCTTTTGTTTATACATGTGGTTTACAATATTACTTGTTCCTTGTCATGAGAGTTTTTATACAATACAATACAATACAACACAAATCACTTTATTTTCAATTGTCACAAATTACATAATACACATTTAACATGTATCAAGCAAAAACAGGTGAACGAAGAGTAGCATAAATAATAATTATAGGTGACAACATGATCAAAAATATTCTAATAAATTATGTTTTGGGTTTTAGTGTTTCTGTATTCGATGGGGGAAAGCAGACAATATTTGAAGTATTTCTTTGAAAGCGGTAAAAAAACACAGTTTTGAGTTATTAATAAGATAACAACTAACAATAAAAAAGTCAGTGAACATAAAGTAGTCAAAAATTTATAAATAAAGTAGCCAATAATTTCAATTTTGGCCTATGTACAACCGAGCTGACCTGGAAAAATCCTAACAATAACAATAACATTGCAGCACGAGGTTTCCGTGACATTTCTATAAATAGATCAGGTGTAAAGTTGTAAAATTGCATTGAGACAGGCTATTCATAATAAGGCCCGTAAGTCTCGTTTACTTTCACTTTCGATTTACCACTTCCGGGTACATCGGCAGACTTATTTACCGTTACGCATATAGGTAACCCGAAGAACTCGAGGGATATAGAAGTTAAATTTGTTTCGGTCCTCTTCAGATTTGAAGGAATGGATAGCACGGGTACAAAAATGCAGGTAGGTCACTTATCTGACGGAAAAACGAGGGATTTATAGAGTTTAATAAAACTAGTTTATTTTTGGATAGTGACAATTGTTTCGGATGTGTTGTCAAGGTAGTGAATTCTAGTTGTTTAGCTTTTAGTATTGTTTTAAAACTACTGATGTGAGAAATTAATTCAAACCATTTTAACTTATTGAAATAAACAACGGAGAAACACTTTAATTCTAGTGTATATTAAAGTTATACAAAATTTGGACATTGCACAGTAATTCGGATATTTTTTCCTTTCCATTTTATTCTTGTTCCTTTTTCAATTATATATACATGTTAATATGGTACCTAGCAAATAATGATTGAATTGAAAAATATAATATTTGATTGAACCATTTCAGATGTATAGACAAGGGGGTATATGACAAGTATAGAATATACAGTTGTTCAATATGGACCATTAATCAACTGTTTGCACTGCCTATGATCCTGAAATATCTATACATCAAAGGTAAATACATGTAAAATAATTGATAAATTTTAGTTGAGATCAGAAAGATAAACAATTATCAAAATATATTATTATAATTTAATAACTTTTAGATTTCACTGCATGATAATTGATAAGTAAATAAAACATTAAAAATAGTCATGTTTCACATTCAAGAAGATCAATATTTTTGACTGTAATATATTATGTGTTGTTGTTTATCTTTAATGTTTATTTACTTCAAATATGATTTTTTTCTGTCAATCATGACCAGCTTATTAAATGTAATGTAAATATCATTTCTAGTATCTTATACTTGAAACAACATATTTATTGATTTTTCATTCTGCAGATAAAAAGGGAAAAGATGAAGGAGGATTTGTCCATGAAGACCTTTATTGCAACTACCATCTTCCAGTTCCTTAATTTGAGAATGATATCAGAGAACACACAGTTACAGTGAAATATTAGTTTAATATAAGCCACTGAAAATAGTCAAATGTACTTTTTTGAAGAAGATGAATGACATCCAGCACAAAAATCTTAATGTATAAAGAGTACGATTTTATGGTGTTTGACACTGATCTTGTTAACATGTTAATGTCACAATGATAGAAACAGAGTAAAATATCCACATTTCATTGCAGTTTTAAGTATCAAAACTAGATACTCTATATAATTATACCAAAGCTGATAACACGCCAGAGATAAGGTTTTTTCATGGAATCACAGTAGAGTCATATGACATTATGGACATTAAATGACTATGAAGTAAAGATTAGCAAAATTATTATATAATTATCATCTACTACTAATATTGTGAGGTAATCATTGATAAGCTCACAAATTTGCAATCAAAGCTTTGATATCAAGCTGAACATTTTTCAATTAGAATATGATTTATAACTCTATGATAATTTGTTCATGTTAATTTTCAAAGTCTTTACATTTGTAAAAGGAAATATTCTTATTCTTGTATCAGTAGACATTCACAGTGTAAAGTTACATTGTCCAAATAACTAATAATAATTCCAAGTGCTTTCCTGAAGTTTTTCTTCCACTGGAAAATCAGTGTGATATATATGCTAAGCAGTGCACTATAAATTGTGTAAAAATAAAAGTTTATTAAACTTATGAACTGTTTTTTGTTTCTACTATTTGGCATATATTTATAGCAGTGCTTGATCATAAGAGTTCATCTGCAAAATAAGTGTCACTGTGTACTTTAATTCTCTAACAGCAATGGCTAGATTGCTTGAATATGCAAGCATTGACTATATTAAATACTATGCATGTCATTTGAATTTTGTCTGTCCTGAAATCGAAACAGACACTATCTAAATAATAATGATGAAAAGTTCTTGACAGCTCTTCAATGACTACATTTACACATATGTACATGGAATAACTACCCCTCTGATACTAAAATCTTCAAGGAATGCAGAATTGCAAGTCTTCTCCAATTAAGAGAGAGACTTGGGCTTACAAGGGCTAGCAAGCTTGTGTTTTGCTACAGAATACTCAACACAGATGAATTGCATTAATATTGTTTATTCTGGTATTACTACCTGCCATGTACAATGCAAATCATGGCTTTTCTAAGAGCAGTGAAAGGCTATAACTGGAAGGAATTTTACACATCTTGCCTCAGAAACAAGTTTTTCTTTGAGATGATTTTTATGATATTTAAATAATGGTTAAAGATTACATTACTTTTACAATTGCAGTGATCATGATAATATGAAATGAAACTCAATCAAGATAGAAACATTTTAATGCTGAACATTTATCTTTTTACCATTCCTGTTAATTTACAAGTCTATTTATAACAAATTTATTTTAACTCTTTTGAAACTACATGATGCATGGTTGAAACTGTTTTGGGCAGCCATTTGCAAAAGATGAATTATCTTTGAATAATTAAGTTAATACAAAGTTACAAATGACAGGTAATTTATTTCTAATAAAGACAGGTTATTTATTTCTAACAAAGACAGATATTTTGTTTAACATTTTTACACTGACATATATCTTTGAAGTGTCTTCAACCTTAGTTTTTATTAGAATACAAACATTCAGTCAGACAGTTTACACAAGACATGGAGCTTTAAGAAGCTTTAATTCAGTCAAAATCTGTAATGGACTGCCATGTCTCTACCACTATGTACTCCAAGACTGTGTATGGACATTTCCTTTCAACTATGCCTGATGGTATCACTTTTTGATTTCTAATCTGATGGTGAACACTCCAAAATAAATCAAGAGCCGTGACAAGTACTCAAGATAAAACCATGAAATCACATACCTGTATATAAAGAAAATTAATCATGAGTTGAAAGCAATAATAATTGGTCAGCTATAAATTTCAATCATTATCATATTGTCATGAATAGAAAATAATGTTGAAAAGGAAGAAACACTTCTTGGTGTCCTAGTTTTTGTAGATTTGCTTTGACAACTGATCTTTAAAAAATGTGATAGTGACTAAGTTCTTTTAACCATTTACTGAACATGATTTAACTAAAAAATATGACCTAATTTCTTGAGAAAAATACTTTAAACAGTATTTGACATGAATTAACTACATATGCCATACTGTTTGTTTATTTAGCTACACTGTAATTATTTACAAAAACGAGAACATTATAATTATGTTATACAATAATATTTATTTTTCATTAAATAAATGTAGTTTAAGTAGCTTTAAGTATATATTTCTTACCAAAACGATTTTACAGCAGAGCATGCATGTGTATTTACATCGGATACTGACGTCTTTCATCTCACCACTGTCCTCAGTCAAAATATCTACAGGGGCAAAATATTTCATTGAATTTTATGACAATTTAAATTGGTTATATACAGCTTGACTGTGCTTTATAAAGATAATAATTATAAATAAATGACATTTTCAGTTGGAAGAAAAGATATTCAACTAAAACATACTGATAATCATATTGAAACGTTTATCCGAAATATGCGCTGTCCGAAATTTCTAAACATTATATACTTCTGAGAGATAATCAGGTAGCGCTATAGAAAATTGATAAAATCAAATTCACCAGTCTGGTGTCAGATGCGAATGATGTTGTATCAAAAAACAAATTTATTAGATTTACATGGAAATGAAAATATTACATCATTTATTGGGATAAACTGAATTTGAAAAGACACACCCACCTGAAGATTATACGAAGTTGTCTTTCATTGATACTTGTTCACAAGATGAAACCATTTGCATTTCGTTACAAAACAAAAAACTCTGCCAATTTCCACATATCATTTGCTTTTCCATGTAAGTTTTACTTTCCCACCGGCATACAAGTATTACCCAATATAGATAAGCAATGTTGTTGATATTTGTTTGTACCCGGAAGTGCAAAATATCGTGAAATCTCGCAAGTCACATGACGAGACTTACATACCCTATTGTGTAATTGTAATGACAATGAAACAAAAGCAAAAACGAAACAGAATAACAAACACATTACGATGGGGATAATTAGGATTAACAATCACAAGGTATGTAAAATAAATCAATTCATGTAATTGTTATTAATCGTTAATTTTTTCATGATATAGTTAACATATAAGCTAAGGTTTGTTTGGCTCTCGCTATCAGTTGTGTTAAGTAGTTCCTTAAATTTCAGTATATTTGGTCTAATATAGAATCTCTCTGGTATTACCTGTATTCTTTTAGTTCTGAATAAAGGACATATTAACAGATAATGCATCACATTACCAATGTTCCCCGAGTTACATTTTTGGCACTTTCTTTGCTCATGAGGTTTAAAAGACTGATTCCAACGACCTGTTTCTACTGGAAAACGATGGTAAGCAGTTCGGAAATGCAGAAGAGATAACCTAAGGGGATGGGGGAGAATATCTAGATAATATTCTACTTTAAAACTGTTTTTAAAACTACCATAGAGTCTACCTTTATGCGAGTTTTCTAGTTGTGAGAACCATTCTTGTTTATACCGATCGATGAATGTGTGTTTAACCAATTTGTAAATACATTTAGCTTGGATATTATTTTGATTTAACCACAAAATAGAATTAACTGTTGAATTCAGTATACTTTTAACATAGTTAATTCATTTAAAGTTTTGGTAAGACTGTATCATATACTTGTAAAACATATATTAAATCTTTGAATGCTTACACGAATTAATTTATTCCAAAAATTTATCATACGAGATTTTATGTTTATTTCAATAGGATAGCGCCCAAGTTCATCATATAACATGTACCTAGGAGTTCTTTTCCTGGTATTAGTAATCTTGAGTAAAAAAATGTAATGAACTTGTTCTATGATATTTAAATTTTCGAACCCCCATATTTCACTTCCATATGTAAGAATGGGAAGCACTGTATGGTCGAATAACTTTATTTGTAGGTCTAAGGGAAGGTCAAGGTTGTTTATTCGCATAATATATAGAACATTCATGGTATTAGGGATTATGTATTTCTCTATTTCATTGTCACATCTGTGTTATTTGTGCCGTGTGGCGGCTGTAAAAAGTATCCCCGTACATTTAATCAATGATTTTATATTTTCGATCCATGAAGATCGTTCAGCATGTATACATTTTATGTGGTACTTAAAGTTTCTTCTATTTGCCCTTTTTCAACTTTGGTGGTTCCAGTATTCCTACCTCACCCTTAAAATATGTTGCCTGCTTTTTATATTTTTCTTTTGACGTCATATCTGTGATATGCAGGCTTCATAACCTCAGATCCCTTTCAAAATGCCATTGTATTTAGTTCCGCCCATTGTTTTCTCGTTTAGGGCACAAACATTCTCTTACTTGGGGACCATACGCCGCTTTTCATGACCATACGCCGCTTTTCATGGAATGGCACTATGTTCACTTGGAGGTTTTCCCTGATAACCCGTTGAAAACATTGTGGGTGTTTTTTAAATTCACAAAATTTCACATTTTTTGTGGGGTGCAGAGGCGTGGAAGGAAAATTTACTTTCCCCTTGCGGTCCAGAAAAGAATAAACTAATCAAAATTTGCCGAAACATTTTCAATTTTTCGGTTTGGGCTTTTTAAAGGGGTTCGTATCTCCTTTTTTTTTATTTGTTTCTTGTGAAATAGGTGTTCCCACACACAAGAAATGAACCCGAGCTAGAGAAAAAAACACCCAGATTCTTTTTTCCCTTATTGTTGATTGATAGGCCATTTTTTATTGAAGGTATGATTGGGTTCATTTTCCCAAAAAAAAAGGTTGGTTTTTGAAAGTTTTTATTTAATTTTAAATCTCGCAAATTGTGAAATTATTGGGGAAACAGGACTTGAATGATTCCGGATTTTCGCCTATTACGACCGTGTCGTCTGCATAAAGTACTATAAATATTTTTAAAAACTGGGCTGTAGCGTCAATTGTGACTCCGTTATAATTGTTCTTATTAAGGGCTTACTCTAGGTCATTTATGTAGATTAAGAAGAGCATGGGCGATCAATTCTCGCCTTGTCTTAGACCTGTAGAAATTGGGGAAAAGCAGATGTTTGACCTTCGGAGGTAATACAAGATTTTATATTAGAATAAATATTTTGGATGACAGAAAAAAGTGTTTCTGTAATGCTAATATCAGAGTTTCCTCAATATACCTGCGCGCCATTAATAATTTTCCAAAGCAACTCAAAATAGTTATTGGTCTATAGTTACCTGGATCGGAAGGGGATCCTTTATTTTTACAAATAGCTCCTACTAACCACGAGTCAGGCATGACTCCAGAGTCTAAAATATGATAGACAAGATCGACAAGGAAAGCCGGCATTCAATGAACGCAGCCCCCACCCGACCCAGCAACAAGCGCCAGCGGCAAGGAGCCCAGGAGGACCCCAAAGAAAAACAGGACAGGGCACAAGGCAGAGCACGGGCAGGCAAACCACCACATCAGAATACATAATAAGTAACTTATAAAGAAATAAAACAAAACAAATAAATGATTTAATATAAGGCCCACAATGTCAAAAGGCACAGGGGAAAGGGACATGAGACACGTGGAAGGGGGGGGGGGATAAAATAAATATAAAATAGATAAATACCAGGGACAAAGGGTAGATACTTACCGTAGACGAGAAACAACAAGAGACATGAGCAAAAGTAAAAACTGGTGATAAAATGGGACCTTTATTGATTTTGTGTATTTGATATATTCATTTGATATACTTTCAAATTGTGACTGAGCCTATCCATTTTATATTTTGAAATGACTTTGCAAATTTCTTCTTCCGAGATTTCTCTATGAAGTGCGTTATTATCTTATGGGTTGGGGATTTTAAAGTTGCCTGATAAAGTTTCGTTTTCATCTTTTTGGGAGTTTATGTCTTTAAAGAAATTGAAAACTTCGGGTATATCAGGGGGGCATTTCAGTTTTCTTTCGTGAGAACTGGTTTAGATAACGCCGGTAATCTTTCGGTTGTTTGGAGCTAAGCACACACAATTTACATTCATTATTATACCTGTGTTTACATATAAAGGTATTAATGGTTTGTTATAAATGCAAATCCCTTACGCCCTTAGCACCGGCTTGAGCGGTACTCAATTCTTAACACTTTATAGTGCTGGAATCTATAAACCCGAAGGACCAGAAAAATATAACAACACTGAAGTGAAGAACGGGCAAGTTTTTACAGCTGCCACACAGTACTTGACACCTGCTATTGTGAAGTATGAATAATAATAATTATTAATATTATTAATGAACTTATAATAAATAAAATAGATAAATACAGAATCCCTAAAGAAAGCCCAACATGACAAAATTGAAAATGTTGCAGGCTCGGTTTGATTGAGCCTGTTCATGGACGGTAATGGAAAGTGCAATTTACCGTCCACGCCCCCTAGCACCGGCTTAAGCAGAATTCAACATTTAAACATGAAATGGTAAAATAAAATAAGTTGAGGAAGGTGGACTGGTAAAACCTGTTTTAGAGGGATGAAACGTTAACTTTGTGGAGTTAAGAAATATCTTTGAAAATTTCTCAGCAACTGTATTGATGTAATGTTTATTGTTTTGGTCAGAATTTTCGTAATCTAACATAAATCCCAAATCTTGCACAGCTTGTAAATCAATATTTTTCCAAAAATTCACTGGATTTACTATCATCCCATTTTGGCAATTTATTTTGCGATTTCCTAATGCTGGGTTCATTGGGTGAAACATGGGGTAATTCTGGCATAGGGATAAGAATTTTCAGTGAAAATAGACATTGCCCGTCTGAGAACAGGGAATCAAGCTCGATTATATCAAATTCATTTAACAACAATATACAATTTATGGTAGCAACGGCGTAATCAATAACTGTTTTACCTCTGAAAGTACATTCTCCTGTTGACTTTTCACAACCAAATCTACAATTTAGAATAAACAAATTGTTATTTTTACAAATTTCGAGAAATTTCATACCATTATTATTAATTTTACTACACTGAGATAATCGATCACGTGGACTATTTAATTTTCCAGCTTATTAATTGATTTAATGAATCTAAAGTAGCATCATCAACAGTAAGATAGGATGATAAAAGTCTAGATAATCTTGTAAATAAATGTAGAATTATCGCATTGTTTGGAACTTTTCCTTTGTTCTTACTTACCCATTATACTCAGTACATTTCAATGAGCATTTTAAAACTATATTGATATATAGCCGAACAGTTTTTTCATTGATTCATATCACTGTTCATATAGCAGTTGAGTTTTTTTCGAACCTTGTACATATCAATGTAGTTTTTTCACAGAGGCTTCAATGGGGCTGTGATAACGAACATTTCGAGTAGCAAAAAAAAATAGAATCAATTATATCAATAAAATAAAATAAATGAATAAATTAATGAAAAATATAAACACAGATGATTAATGAAATGAAATTTACACAAAAGGTACATCCGCTGAATGTATTATTTCCTCTAAAAAAAGCCCTTTAAACTTGAATCAATATTAACAGTTTACAATCCGCCTCTAACATTGGACGTCTTTTGTATATCTTTATTTCTTGCGGCAGCGAAAACAACTGGAAACAACTTATCATTAATAAATGTAATGTAGCTAACGATTTATTTATTTATTTATTTTACAAAAAATAAAACATTATGCCATTGCGATAACACAGTTATAGTATATGAATTTGTTAGTTATAATGATATAACACTGACTGGGCGACATCTGAGGATGTTTCTGCAAAATATTGTCTCGGCCTAACGGCCTCGCCATTTTTGTTTAGCAGAAACATCCCTTGATGTCGCCCCATCCAGTGTTTTATCCTCGAAACTAACTCGTTTCATATACTATATTTATTACGTATGCACATTTGAATCTCCAGTTATCAATACAAATTCGTGTTTACTACATTTAACAGAAATATCATTTTGAAAATCATAAAACTCGTCAACATTAAAGAAGCGTGATTTTTCGGTGGTA